ACCAACATTCATTCTCCCTGTCACTTTCAGGTACACTGATCAAATATAGATTTGGTCTTTTCATATATTCCCATACTTCTTGGAGGCTTTGTTCATTTCTTTTCACTCTTTTTTCTCTAATCTTGCCTTCTCGCTTTATTTCATTGAGTTGATCTTTAGTCTCTGATATCCGTTCTTCTGTTTGATTGATTTGACTATTGAAACTTCTGAATGCTTCATGAAGTTCTTGGGCTTCCCATAGCACTGTAATTTCTGAAAAAAAAAATTCAGTCTACATGGATTTCATGATATTCAAGGCATGTAACTCAGTCCTGAATTGAATCTACTTTGGGGACAGGAAAGGAAAAAAGAAAATCAAGGTATGGTAAATTACTTCTGCAATATCCTGACAACACTAACTTCTGGATTAGAATTATAGTTCAAAGTTTCAGGATTATAGTGCAAGTAGCAGTTCTCCAGGAAAGTCCTTTTGATAGAATGAAAATGAACACAGGACAGCAATAAGGGTCTTCTGCATGGCTTCCCTGGGTGATGCTACCATGTTATTGACTTTAAAACTTGGAAATAAACCAGGCAAAGGGCAAAACAGCAGCAAGGGGGACTGGGTGTGATGGCTCATGCCTGTAATCCCAGCACTTTGGGAGGCCAAGGTGGATGGATCACTCGAGGTCAGAGTTCGAGACCAGCCTGGCCAACATGGTGAAACCCCATCTCTGCTAAAAGTGCAGAAACAGTCGTGTGGTGGTGGGTGCTTGTAATCTCAGCTACTTGAGAGGCTGAGGTGGGAGAATTGATTGAACCCAGAAGAAGGTTGCAGTGAATCAAGATCGTGCCACTGCACTCCAGCCCAGGTAACAAAGCAAGACTTCATCAAGAAACAAAACAAACAAAAAAGCCAAACTGCAGGAAGGGGGAATGTAGTGCCTGGGGTGGGGCATTTCCTAGAGTGTTCTGTGGATCCTAGGTCTGCAAAGGATCTGTGGTCTAATGAGTTTATGATAGACTATGGTAGAGTTAAATGTGTTCTTTTCTGCAGTGGTTGCTGTGACCCTTTAATATACTGATGTGCAGTGTGAATCTCCATATGAGGAATGTCATATGTATCATTGCCCAAAATTATCTCACCATGAAACTCATCTTTCAGGACTTTTTTTTCTGTAGAAGAATACGGTTTCAGAAATATGCTAGGAATAATATGACAATGTTAGAAATATTGGGCATGTACTCTGTGCCAATACTATTTTTGCAGATGAGACCACTGAGATTTAATTTAAGCACTTAGTCCGTAAGTGACAGAGCCAGGTCTGATTCTGAAAAGGGATCATATCATTACTTAACCCCACATGTGGAATTTTGGGTTTGTTCTCATACATGCAACTATGAGCATTTATTTAGCACTTTCTATGTGGCAATCACTTTTCACAAGAAAACTGTTGTTGTTATTGTAACTGTTCCCATCATCACCATCCCAGATCCTCATGAATAATATATAAAATTTCAGTGCATTTCCAAGTTTCTCAAAGGATTTTAGAAATGACATGTGCATGTGTGAAGCTTAGAAATGTTGAGTCATTTGGAATACTGCTTGTATCCGTGTTTTACTTTGTGCATGAATAATGGCAAAAAAAATTGCTCAGCACTTTCCCCTACACTGCTACCTTGTTTAAGCTGCAACTGGAGAGGGTTAATTTATGCTAATTCCACAGAAGAAGCTAAAGCCCATTTATCACAAGTTTCCATTCCTCAGCAAAACACACACAAATGCACCTAAGTATTGGGCAAACTAAGAAATGTGCTGCTGTAGTGTGGAGCGATAATAGGTCTGTTTATATTCAGGCACAGATCAGCAAGCAGAAGCCACCTATGGAACACAGAGGGCAGTGGCAGTCAGTCTCTCACCACTGCTGTTTCCTGCTTCCTGCCTCTGAGAAGTGGCAGAGATGGGGAAGGCGAATGGATAACATACATTTTAGAACTGGGATACAGAAGTTCATTTTCCCAGAATAATATGCTAATTACTTAAGTGTAAATGATTTGGAATGGAAAGGTTTAGCCTGGGGATGGGGCGATAAGAGGAAGGAAATAGAAGGAAAAAGAGTTCGTGTGTGTGTGCGCGTGCACACATATGAAGGTTTGCTTTCTGTGCTGCACAGGGCTTGGACAAAGTAATTTTCTCTCTTAGTTTTTCATGTATTTCAAATGCCAACCTTTTCAAGCAAGCTCAGTATTCTTAGTTGCTTCATATCCCTGGTATTCGGGTTATGCAGAAAGAGTATTTAGCTAGGAGTGAAAAGTTTAGCTTTGATTCAACCTCTCACCATCCTAATCATCTGTGGCCCCTCTCTGAGCCTCCATTGTTCCATGACATATTAAGGGTTTGCATTAGAAGATTGCTTTTAAAACATCTTTCTACTATAACTTCTTTGATATGATGTTATTATGATCATAATGAGAGAGAGAGAGAGATCTTTTCGAGTTACAGGTTGTTAAATTATAGGTTTTCCAAGATTTAGTTCAGAATAATCCAGTGGTTTCACATTGTGGGGAGTGGATAAAATCAGACTGGCTGTCAGTTGATGGTTGTTGAAGCTGGGTGGTAGGTTCATTTCTGTATTCTCTCTGTGTGTGTGTTTGCATGCATACATATAAATATCCATCCACCTATACATACATATGCATAAATGTGTACAGATACCTATCTTCCAAACTTAAGAGTACATGATTTATTAGTCCTACTGCTCCTTTTCAAACTTAGCATTTTAACTTGTGCCGCTTGTTAATTTATTTCTTGTGTTATAGTCTTAGTCCTAATCCCCATCCTCAGCAATATGTCTTTTACTGATATTAGCCCAGGGTTGAGTATATAGAAAGTGTGTGTGTGTGTGTGCGCGCACGCGATGATTCAAGTTCAAGTCTTAGTTCTTCTGTTTACTAGTTCTAAGTCCTTGTAAAATAACATTAATCAATGAGAACTTCACTGTTATCTGTTTGATGGGGATCATAGTCCCTGCCTTCCATTTGTGGAAATCAATTGTGATAATGTCTACAACATACGGATGGTGTTCTCTTCCCCCGATGACATCCTACTAATTGCAGCGTGAGTTCTGAAGAATTTCTGGACCTCTTTGCCGATGGCATCGAGAGCTTTCTCTTCTAATTCTGAACTGAAAGAAACTTTGCCTTGGATGTTTCATGGCAGTGAGACCCCAACCATCTTTTACACACAAACTCATCTAGTCCCATTTCAAAACTGAGGTGATGCTTGGCTTACAGGGAAGAGAAAATAGTGGGGAGTTCTTATTCAGTGCTTCCTGAAAACCAACTCTCCTGAAATGACTATTTTCTGAGAAGGAAGGGTGGCTTTCATTTTTTATCAAAACTGTATGATTAGTTGGAAGATGCTTTCCAGTATCAACACAGAGTGGCTGAGATGTAATCCTGAAAAACTCAGCCAGAGCAGAAGCCACTGAGTCTTGTCTGAGACCATCAGTATTATAGTCTTATTCTTGAACTTTTTAACCTGGGTGACTAATGCGCTGCCCTCTCAGCTCACACCAGAGAAAACTACAGAAAATGGTGATTAAAGGTCACCTGTATTTCTGGGTATCAGGCTTTGCTTAAGTTGATGGAAGGTAAAGGTCAGCACCAAGGCTTCCATGGAGTACATGTGACTTGTCTTTTATGCATGAACTATGCTACATTTGCAAAATGTCAGATTTTAAGAGGGTAGAAATTAATTGCAAAGTCTTACAAGTATGACAGGTTTGACTGTGAGATGGGGGAAGGTGTAGAGGTGGACAGAGGTGTTTTCCAGACTGCACTTTAAGAGGAAACTCAGGGAGGGAGACTCTTGTATGGACGCAGAGGCTTCTGGTTTGTCTGAGAGAAAAACTCACGGTATTTGAGAGGCTGGAGTGTCTTGGTGTGGGCTGTTGGAGCTTTTGGGAAGTGTGGAAACAACCAGGTTGCATTTCCCTCCTTCAACGTCTGAGTGGCTGCTCTTGTAAAATATTCACCTGGACGTCAGTTTCCTGTGTACAAAAATATAAGCACGTTCCGTTACTTCACTGTTATTTCTCTCATGACAACTTTCCAATTATTTTTCTCACATGACAACTGCTGGAGTAGGGGTGAGGGGGTGGTTGAATTCGCAAAAATATTTTTTTAGGTGGTTTTATTGGCCATCTGTTTGCTTAGTAGAAAAAGCTTACACTCAGAGCATAATAAAATATATTATAAATATTGATTAATAATAATACTAGCAGCAGTACAAATGAAATCTAGGCCAGGCACGGTGGCTCATGCCTGCAATCCCAGCACTTTTGGAGGCCGAGATGGGGGGGATCATGAGGTCAAGAGATCAAGACCATCCTGGCCAACATGGTGAAACCCTGTCTCTACTAAAAATATAAAAATTAGCTGTGGTGGTGCACGCCTGTAGTCCCAGCTACTCGAGAGGCTGAGGCAGGAGAATCGCTTGAACCGGGGAGGCAGAGGTAGCAGTGAATTGAGATCGCGCCATTGCACTCCAGCCTGGCAACAGAGCAAGACTCTGTCTCCAAAAAAAAAAAAAAAATGTAATAATTATTATGACTTAATATGCGCCTGGCACTTTTCTCAATGCTTACCATACATTAGCTCACTTAATCCTCATCAGAACCCAATGAAGTATGTACCATAATTTTTGTTTTCTACCACATAAGGTACATTAAGGTGAAGTAACTTGCCCAAGACCACATGGCCAGGTAGAGCGGGACTGAATCCAGGCAGCCTGGCCCTGGGGTCTGTGCTTTTTATTGCTTTGCTGTAGTTCAGGAATATTTGGGGTGGGCGCAGGGTGGGCTCAGATGCATCCCAGGTCAGCCATGTGACATGCATCTTGTGTGTATACCCCACCTGTTTTTCCAGGACTTACCGTGCTTGTGCGTGAAGAGTTTGAGCGTCTCAGAGTCTCACCTGCCCAGTTCTCTGCTCATGACCGTGTTTTGTCTTCCCCCCAGCCCCCCTGGTGGACCTCACTCCAACCCACAGTGGATCTGCCATGCTGATGCTGCTCTCAGTGGTGTTTGTGGGGCTAGCAGTATTTGTCATCTACAAGTTTAAAAGGTGCGTGTCCCTCCATCCACATCTCCTCACCCCCAGCCTCTTCCTTCTCCCTGACAGGTCCAGAAGCATGTGTTACAGTGATGTGCATAGCAGTGATGGTTTCTATTAATATTTTAGGAAGATCCCGGGCATTAATGCTTATGCCCAGATGCAGAATGAGAAAGAACAAGAGATGATCAGTCCAGTCAGTCACTCTGAAAGCAGGCCCAGTGTCCCTCAGAGTGAACTAAGGAGGCCTGGCCAGCTTATAGATGAGAAGGTGGAATCCCAACTCATAGGTAAATGATTCCCAGTAGCCATCAGCTGTTCAGCTGAGTAGGCAATGGCTGACTCTCTCTCTAACCCCTTTCTGGCTTGACATAACCACTTTCTTCTGCTCTAACACCCCTGAGAGAAACAGCTAAGATGGCTCTTTCCCTGCTTCCTCTCATTGGGATGGGGAAAAATAATAACAAACCTCTTGCTTCTATCTAGTTTTTTTCCCCTCTCATTAGTTTATTCCTCCTTTTGCAAAACCCTCCCTAAAATATTGGGCTTACAATGTTAAAATGTTACATGTTTATGGGGAAAGAGCAAAGCATTTGCTATAATAATATATAAGAAGGAGAGGCCTCAGAGGCTAGAGCTGGTGGCTCAGACAACTGGGCAGGGTTTGCAGGACATGGTTAGTATTGACTAGAACGAAACACGGTGGCCTCAACTGGATACAGCTCTAAAGAGGGCAAACTGCTTCAGAACGCTAGTAGAGGAGTGACGTAATGAGAATGACCAGCCTCATCATCCAGGGCAATTTTTTTTTTTTACATCTAGTGGTAGCTAGGAACTTTCTCTCAGGAGATATGGCACCTAAGAACTTGAGGACAAGAGTCATAAGGTTTGCAGACATCCAGGGAGTGGAGCAACCTCAGAGAGACCACACTGGTATGTGAGACTATTACATAGCAGATTAGCAAATTTCTTCCTCTTTTTTGACTGTCCCTTAGCAGAAATTGTAAAATAGACTTACTCATATTTCAACGGAGCCCTCTCTGCCTGTGAAGTAGGCACAGGAATCCAACAACTAGGTATGGAGAGTCTGACGTTCACTTGCTAGATCCTGCTACTTACTGCAGAAAGAATTTTCCAGGAAGTTAGACAAACCCATGAAGCCACTAGTGCTGATCTGCTTCTCTCTTTGGTTCTTCCTAAGACTTGTATGTATGATCACAGCCAGATCCTGCATTGCTGACAACAGTGGATAAATTACCGTATAACCATTTCTGCTCCACTGTAATGTCATCATGCCAGACCACCTGGCCTTTACATAACATTTTTAATCTTACTTGGAAAAAAAATGAGTGTATAAATGGAAACATGACCCTCTTTAAACAAAAATGAGAAAGGTCTGTGGCTGTGTTAAGGAGAAATTTAAATGCAGTAACTGGCTCCTATCATAGGTAATGATAACAGTGGCAGCCACATCTGGTGTCCGATTTTCACAGTGCACTTTCTTTTATTTGGGGAGACAAGGTAATAAAAGTGTAATTGCTGAGGGTTAAAAAGAAAAAAGCCTTTTCTGTCTTCAAGTCCACAGAGGCATTCACCCTGTCTACTCATTCCTGAAGCGTCTATGTGCATTTTTTGGTATCATTTGGTTCTCAGTTGCATTTCTGTAGGGTATAAAGCATAGCCTGTGTTTGTTTTATTAAAGTAGCAATTCCTCCTTCACCAGGAAGCTATCTCAGCACATTGCAGTCTCTGACACCTTTCCCTTTCCAGTGTCATTAAATGAGTAAGTGTTACACGTTTTCTCTTAGGAGAGTAGCTTTACCCTCCCCTCCCTCCCCTTCTACTCAACCTGGTGACTCATCTCTCCGATTGCAAAGAGCAAGACACGCCACTCCGCCTTCAACGCCAAAGCGGGGATCTGCTGGGGCACAATTTGCAATTTAAGGAAAACCCCCAAAGGCTACAGGCGACCTGCTGATCAGGAAAGAATTTCGCTCTTGTCAAGTACACCATCCTTCATGACCACTAACTTTGTGTTTTCTCTTTCCTTTGTTGTTCTGTTTCCTATTTTGCCAGGAAGTATTTCCATAGTTGCTGAGAATCAAAGCACAAAAGAAATCCCTATGTAAATGTTTGAATGGAGGACGCCAGTAAAACAAAACAAAACAAAAACAAAATAATATAAAATATAAACAATATCAAAATCCAAACAAACACTCACTGCATCGGGACTTTTTAATTCTTCAGACACAGACAACAAGGGTTTTTAGCTTTAAGCCTGTGCATGTGGACGATACTCTGAGAACATGTGTGGAGGGGCAGTGTACAGGTGCTCTATTTTAATGGAAAACACTCCCCTCTCCCTCTTTCTTCTCCTCTTTTTTCTGATCGGTCGTGTTTGTAGAAAATTCATAACATATATAGGCCAAGGAAATCTGCATGTATTTTTGGAAATATTCTTGGCTCTAGATTTATCAGCTATTTTAGCATTAAGGGCTGATGGGTGGATTAGCTACCCCAGCCCCTTTCATAAGACACAAAGACATGCACAGGAGTTTGAAACCCTGAGCTGTTTCTCTGTTCCACTTTCCATATTGTCATCTCCCTTCTAAGTTAGCTTTTGTAGCTCTGTTGGTCAGCAGTGGCCACAAGGCTGTTTTCTGTACTCTCTGTGGCCACAAAAACAAAGATGGGAGTTCAAGATCCCTGTATGCAGGTAGAATAGGGAAGGAAGGGAGGCAAAGCATGTCAGAAACGGACCTTGGTTTTCTGTTTACCTCTTCCCACCATGATTGCTTCCACTTGCAGCTTTCCCTACTCCTGCCCCACTGCAGTAGGAAATGGAACCCCATTAGTCCATTTTCCTGCCTTCACATGTGTCTATCAATCATCCTTGTGTGGCCATGATCTGTTGATGTCTTTGAATCTCTTCCCTCCAAACCCCAAGTAAGTTGTCCTTCAACTGTTGTCAATTATTTTTCCCAAACATGTTGCTAGATTCTGGACATTAACCCTAACGTTTCCTAAATAGCGGCCTGGCCTCTGCCACCCCTGCCTCCACCACTTGCAAGTTTCGGCTCCTTCTGTCAGTTTTGTACATTCCCAAGCATGCCAGTGTCTGTGCCCATGGACCTCGCTGTATCCTGCACAGCAGGGTTCAGTTTCATGTATCCTTGTCTCTTCCTCTAGAACCTGCCTTTTCCCACCTGGAAACATATACTGTATGTGAAAGAGTTGATATTATGCAAAGCTATTCAAACCTGGCCATGTACTTTGGAAAAGAAAGCATAGAGATGAATTGTGGTGGTCTCACAACCAAAATCTCATGAGACCTGATTCTAGAAGATTCTTGCGAGAAATGTTTTGAATGTGTGATGATTTTGCAGGGCGATTTCCTCCTGTGATGGTTGCTGTTACCCAACATTTCACTCTCACAATAGAATAGAAATGTTTGTGAAATTGATTTTAACTGGAAGGAGAAGCAGGTTAATGGACTTCATGTTTAAGAGTGTCAAAACGTCTGAGAGAATAAATGAGGGGGTTTTGTCTTACATTAGGGTGAGAGTTTGATATTTAGGATGATCTCAGTGATTTCATGTGTGCTCTCTGACCTCTGAGTATCATAGTATCATTAAAGGAAAAAAGTTAGCTGATTGGTAAAAAAAAAAGACTGGCGCAAAGCCTGAAGAAATCCCAGTTTTTCCCAGGGTTATCATGAAAGAAGGCTCAGAGAAAGAGGGAAACAAAAGCCTGTCCAGCAGAGGTCCCTTTAGTATTATGGTCTGGGCAAAGCCCACTATAAATTATAGGAGTAAGAAGTTCTGATAAACCTTTTAGTGAGTTCAGCTTCCTCCTTTGCCTTGTCCCTAAGCCAACAGTATAACACAGGCCCTGGTGATAATGAGGTGTCCTGAAGATCCGGATGTCCATGACTTTATGTAGCTCAGGCACAGAAAGAATAGCAAAGCTGCTGTCAGAAGGGGATCAGGCAGAGATGTTTATGGGTGAGGAGACCCCGTATGAATCTGGGAAATTGGTCACGCCTGAGGCAGCCACCTATTTGTAGAACTCGATTAATTCCTAACCTGCCAGGCTTCCTATCTCATAGGAAACATCCTCATTGATCCTCTTCAGTTGGAGTCTCCCAAATTTAATCTGGAGGACAAAGTGTTGGAAAACTAAAAGAGGCTCACTCAAACCAGCACAGGGAATCCTCAGAGTTGCAGTTCAATTCATCATAATTAGAAAAGTATGAAAAAAAGAATAACAGTCTTATTCTAGCACAGTGCCTTGCCTAGAGTAGTAGTATGAAAATTATTTGTTGAATAAATGAATGGAAAGACACAGGGAAGAATAACAGGGAAGAATAAGCTGTAAATCCTAATTAAAAATAGAGGTAGACATGAGATGCCTGGCATTTTGAAAAGTGACCAAAGATGGCCAGCAAAAGATTCAGCATTTCCAGGGTCCTCATGTGCCTCTCCTCAAAGCTCCCTCCCATCTGTAGGAGATTAGTGAGGCAAGGTACTTGCTCAGAGAGGACCTCATTGTTCTTATGACCTTGGCCAGTTGTTCTCAAAGTGTGGTACCTGGACCAGTAGTATCAGAATCACTTGGACTTGTTAGAGATGCAAATTCTCCATCCATACCCCATACCTACTGAGTTAGAAACTCTAGGGGATAAATAGTGGTGTTCTCTGTTGCTAAGCGATAGTGAGCCTGGCCATCAATTTTAACAAGCCCTCCCAGTGACTGTGATACATACTGGAGTTTGAGAACCATTGTCCTAGGCCATTCCAGCTGAATCTCAAAGAGAAGGCAGTAAGGAGAGCCTACAAATGGGAGGGACCTAAGTGCCTACCTACTCACTAAAAGCAGGTGCAAACAAACACACAAGGGGTGTGTTTAAGGTGGGCTTAAGGTCAGAGGAGTGTGTAGGGAAGTATGTATTTGGAAGGTAAGATTCAGGGCAAGCTAAAAATCCAATTCTGCAACGTTTTCCAAAATCCCAGAAGGCAAACTGTGCATGTTCTACCCTGAACTACCCAACCAACATTTTCTCCCTTGCCTTATTTTTAATTGGATTCACTGTCCAAAATGCAGAGGTTTGCTTTGCTTTTTTTTTTTCAGAAGTTTCAAACAGCAACTTTGAGAGCAGTGGGGTGCTTGGCAGCTGTTCTGTGTTTTCCAGGAATCCAACTGAGCATTGAAATCTCTCATTTGCCAACTTATTTTTATAGGAAGCCAATTTAAAAAAAAAAGTTTTCTTATAGTATTGGAACTACTTCTAATTTTAAAATGACTTTTTTGATGTATTTTTTGTTAAATACTATGTAGTGTAATGTATAATTGCTCTTGTTTATTGCTTTTACAATCATATTTATTAAACAGATAATGTCTCTAAGTCTTTGTCTCAGGTATTTTTTTTTTAATCCTAAACCCTTGGTGTTCATTCTAAATATAGAAGTGTTACATTACAGGATTTCATGAACGCTAATTGCCTAAGTAGTAAACACCACAGGTTCGAGGGTTTTTGCTTTTTTTTTTTTTTTTCTCTCCCTAACAGGGCAGAATGTACCTACTACCTGAATTCTACTTGGACTTCAATGAACTCTACAGTCTGTTACTTTATTAAATTACTTTGATTTAAAAACTAGTCCAAAATAGTTATTTTAGAATGAGTATGTATTCATTATTATTAGTTCAGAATTAGATATTATTGAAGGAACAATTCCATTCAAATTTGTTCATAACCTTGTGGTTACCGAAAGACCAACCCTGCATGAAATGAACTGAAACATGGGGAGTGGTAAAACAGCAGATGAGTGAAAACAGCTGTGGACCTGGAAGCAGGGAGGAGGAGTTCCCCTCTGGCTATGCCAGCTGTGTGACCTTGAGCAAATCATTTTAACATATAAGAGCTTTAGGGCTCTGATGCATATAATTTGGACACAGAAGATCCCTTCCAGCTCTGCCTTTCCAAATACTATGAGTGGGTGAGTCATTCCCAAGAGTCCCAAATATTTGGCTGAAACATTTGTACAGACAAAACCCTCCTTAGTCTTCCTAAAGGCCTGCCAGACAGAGTGGTGTTGCCTCATTGGCTCAATCATTGGCATGTGTGAAACTCCCTGTTGCTCTAGGTGACCCTTAACCTTTCCATTCCCACAGACTAAATTCCTGAATCTTTATTCCTTTCCAGGCCAGATCCCATGCACACCTCCTTCCTATCAGGGGCAATTTATCACCTGTGTCAGGCAAACAGAAAGCATCCCTATACATGTCAAACAGAGGGGAGTTAATGCAGAAAATTTGTTGCTGGGTTAATGGAAGAACAAAAATTCCAAATCAGAGCAGGTGAGGCAACCCTAAGATTTTCTTCAGTAGGATGCCTCTCACTTCTTGGTGCTGGAGAGATACAGGTATTACCAGAGCCCTGGAGCCAGCACCACCAGGTTGAAGCTGAAGTCACGGAGGACTTGTCTGGCAGGAGCTGTAGCCATGGAGGAGATGTGACTACTACCTGTCCTGTGATGCTGCCTAAACAGGGGAGTAGGGAGAAGTAGCTTGCTTTCTCCCTTGCTCTGTTCCTCTCAGCTGTTGCCAACCCTTTTAACTGCACACCCTAATCACAAGCCAGTCAGCAGTGGAGCCTGGGAAATATTTTCTGGAATACTCCCAGTGGGGAGTGGGAAATGGATTTGATAGTACACAGGCAGGTGACTGGCACAGCACCCCTTTCATGACCAGCCCATATCATAACCACTGCATCTCCCCCAACCCTAATGCACTAGGTATGGTAGCTCACACCTGTAATCCCAGAGCTTTGGGAGGTCAAGGCGAGTGGTTGGGGGAGATTGCTTGAGTCCAGGAGTCCCAGCCTGCAGTGAGCTGTGGTCATGCCGCTGCACTCCAGCCTGGACAACAGAGCAGGATCTTATGTCTAAAAACTAATATGTAATCCCAGCACATTGGGAGGCCGAGGCTGGCAGATCACATGATGCTAGGAGTTTGAGACCAGACTGGCCACATGGTGAAACTCCATCTCAACTAAAAATACAAAAAGTAGCCAGGTGTGGTAGTGCACGCCTATAATCCCATCTACTATGAAGGCTGAGGCACAAGAATCACTTGAACCCAAGAGACAGAGGTTGCAGTGAGCTGAGATTGTGCCACCACATTCCAGCCTGGGCGACAGAGTGAGAGTGTCTCAAAATAAATAAATAAATAAATAAACGATAAATAGTAGGTGCTTCTTTCTCTGCCACTTTGTTCACTTACTTCCCTTTAAACATCACATATTTAGAACTTGGCTGTATGCAAATATGTGGCACTTATGCCTTTCTCACCAAATTCTACACTCCTTTAAAGGAGGATCATTTTTTTTTTTTTTTTTTTCATTTTATTCTTTCAGCATTTAGGACTGGGCATTGCCATTAGGGGGCACTAGATAAATGTCTGCTGGAACTCAGCCCTTGATTTTCAGCTTCGTGTTGTGAGCAAGTCCATTTTATTCAGCGATGATCTCTGAGGTGGCTTCACAGCTAGCACCTCTAATTACATGTTCAGTTGGTGCTTGTCAAGAATCAACATATTCTGTTACCACTCAAGCTGCTGTATTCCCGGAGCTATTCTTAGATACTAATTTAAGGGAAATAATTGTAGTTTAGGAAGAAGAATAAGAAGAAAAAACTGACTAGAAACTAGCTTAAAAAACAAAGGTCTAAGTTTGATTTCTGTTTTAATATATAATTGGTTTACCTATTTCCCAAGGAGTTAACAGTACTATGAAAATGCATGTGAGTCTGAGGCTTGCATAGTAAGGAAGTGCAAAATAATTCCAGATGGACAAATACAAGGAAATGGCTGTTATAAAGTTTTCATGTTAAACACATGTTAAACACAGATATTTATTGATCAGTATGCTGTGGCTGCTGCTTTAGGTATTAAGAATCTTTTGTGAACAAGGCCGATAACGTGTCTGCCTTTATGAAGTAATATCCGAATAGGAGCAGTGAACAAATAGTATGATTTAATATAATATATGCAATGCTGTCATACATATAAGATAATTTTAACATATCAAAATGTTAAACGTGATAGGTGACATGTTGGCCAGAGTGACTTGGGGTGGGGCAGGAGACAGAAAGAATTGGTCCTCGGAAAGAAAAATGTCTAGATGCTGAATGAAAACCTTTTCAGGATCTGAAGGCTAAAAAGGAAACAGCCACTTAGACACTGGCTAGAAACTAGCATAATACCTGGTGATACCTGTATCTCTCCACTTAGACACCTGCATTGTCCCAATATGTTCAAAAGCAACCTTAGAACAACCGCACCCAGGAAACAAGTTTGAACCTAAACAGCAATTAGACATGTTTCTGAGTTTAAGGGAAAATAGGTCTTCCATGGCACGTATGCGGGGTCTTCCCCAGAGATCATATATACAGTCAGTTGTACTATTATGTAATATACGTGTTTCCAAATTCACCTCACTATGCCAAATGGCATAAAGAAGCCCATAAACCTTAGGGGAAAAGATGGGGCTGGGGCACAACACACAAAAACTTAGTCATATCTCAGTGTAATGTGTCTGTGAACACAATTTTAAAAAAGGAACAAACCAAATAAAACTGGTAGCATAGTTTTACACACACTGAATGGTGAAGAAATACGCAAATAAAACACTTACCTTGAAAATACTTGAAGTTTGCTTAGAAGAGTGGGTGTTGGAATCCTGACTTCATGTGAGTTGTTATGAAGTGGTAGAAGGGAAGTTACCTAAAATCAGACAGAAATTTGTAATATCAAATATAGATAATATGACTGCAATACACAAGGCAAATGGAAGCATCTGGTAGATGTTTGAGGGGTGTGTGTGTGTGTGTGTGTGCACGCGCACATGCGCTATGTGTTTTTACACAGCTGGTTTTGGCTGAGTGTAATTTTCTGCATTCATTTAGTTTTTCTCATTGACAAAATCACACATAAGCAAACACAGCATTTGAATTATCCTCAAATTCTTCCTTAATATATCAATTACATTAGAACAAATTTACATTTTCAAAAAATGCTTGATAGCAGAACTGACTGTAATTTAGGTGGTAGTTTAAAACTACTGGTAGAGGGAAGAAGCCCTACCTGACAGCAGAGGAAACAGATGAGGAAATACTGCCAATCCTCATTAAAATTGTCACCTCAGACTGAGGCCTTTGTGGTAGGGACCAGCAGCCCTATTCACTTACACAGTCCTTGGAACATCATCCAATTTCCACCTACACCAGCAACAAATATTTAGAAACAGGCTTTGGCCCAAAGAATGTTAAGATGTGGTCAGAACCCCTTCTTAAAGAAAAGCATGGCTGGCTAAGTACAATGACTGACACCTGTAATCCTAGAAATTTGGGAGGCCGAGGTGGGTGCATCACTTGAGGCCAGGAGTTTGAGATAAGCCTGGGCAACTTAAGGAAACCCCTTCTCTAGCAAAAATACAAAAATTAGCTGGGTATAGTGGCACACCCCTGTAATCCCAGCTACTCAGGAGGCTGAGGTATGAGAACTGCCTGAGCCTGGGAGACAGAGGTTGCAGTGAGCCAAGATTGCACCACTGCCCTCCAGCCTGGGCAACAGAGCAAGACCGTCTCTGAAAACAAGCAAACAAAAAAATGTGGTATGACAAAGACATTTATAAAGTATTTGAAGAAAAGCAAAACAGCTACAGATTTGAAATGTTTAAAAATAATCTCAAGGCCTCTAGATAATCATAAGACACTTTATAAATAATACTAAGTAAATATTTCAATGTATGCATTTATATTTATTTTCATACTTCCTGTTTATGTGAATATTAATAACAGCTTATAGATGCAGAAAAAGGATTCAGTAAGCACTATATAAACTAGTTAACAATAATATATGCATATAATAAAATACAGTGTTTCCATTAAAATTCTCTAAAGAATATTTAAGGACATGAGAAATTTTTCACATGATATTAAGAGAAAGTAGCATGTAAGACTTTACATAGTATTATAATTTGTACAGAAAATAAATAGGGACAGAAGATGATGAAAAATAGTAACACAAGTTATTTCTAACTTGTAAAATTATGTGTATTTCAATCCCTTCATCCTTGTTTATATATTTTTTAAGTTATTCTAGTATTTGCTAATAAATTTTGTAATTATTGCAAATAATATATTTAATGATATGTAACGTTTATAGGAAAATTCATAATTGTTGATAGCATATACTTAAATTCCTTCAATAAGTTAAAAACAACTTCCCTAGGTAAGACAATTTTTTTAACCTTGTTTATCAATTTAAATTCATATTGAAAGACAAATATTATTTTGCAATTGTGGCACCTGCAGGTTAACTCATGAGATTTCAACTGTTTAAAAG